AAGACAGAACCCATTTAACTCTCACATGAAAGAAAAAAAAAAAAAAATTAAAAATTTGTACACAGATCCGTGCCCGATTTGAGATGAAAACACGCAGATAGAAATGATAAACTAAGCGTCAAAATAAACGTCTTTGCCATCGGCTCTTTGAGCTACCCAAACTAAACACAACTTTGGAATACCCAGGCACGCCATTTATTACCTAAAAAAAAATTGGCTTGCTCTTTATGTTTATACAGCCTTAATGGAGATGCGCCTCAACGGGTAATCGGTCTCGTAGCTGTAGATGAGAAATTTAGCCAGTGCGGTACAACCGCTAACATGGGGTTTTTAACATGCATCACGCAGTAGTGATCACACGAACGCGTGCCGGTACGAAACTCATCCAGATCGAAACGGGCGGGGGCGGCGGGGATCGAACCCAGGAGGTTCCCAGCGCAAGCTTTCGCTCCACGCTCCGAGCTGAGACGCGTTAGCCCACTCGGCCACTTCCTCCCTTTTTATTACCTCTAATTTAAAATAGCTATATGTACTCCTTTTCACCTCAAAACTGCAAAAAAAAAAAAAAAAAAACGAAAAGAAAAGAAGAAGATTGTGCGGGCTATTATTATTATTTTTTTTTTATGTAGTGAAATAAAATATATGTAATTGCAGTTTAGATTAAATATGTTATATTTAGGTCCCGCGTTTTCGGTTTTTATTTTTTCAAAATTTGGCGTACTTTTTTCGGTGTTTATTTTAAAATTTAATTTTCGTTTTTTTTTTCGGTGTATATTTATTCCCAAAATGTTTACTGTTTTCTTTTTTTTCGGTGATCAGATGATCCTTGTAGCTGTGATATTTGTAATCACTCAAAGAACTACAAGTTCCGCCAGGACACACCTCAAAATCGCGGAATTCGCGGACATAATCTTCAGCGCGCTTCTTTTTCCTTCCCATTCTGACGACGTGACCGTCCGAGGTGATGACCGTACAATGACCAGCAAAACGAAAAACAAAAATCCTGTGTATTTTTGTTTTCAACCCCAGGGAACGAAAAACCTCATAGCGAGTTCGTTTCACGGCACTCGTGCCCACGCGTGCCCACTCGCAGCGTGGAACGGGTTCGTTTCGGCCGGCGCTCCACGAGTGGTTGCACTCTCCGAGTTCGTTTCAGCGCTGAAACCCCACGCGTGCCAACGCGTGCATGCACTCGCTGCACCGAGGAAATCGGGAGTGCGCCAAAATGCAATCCCGTCATGCCTCGCTCCGGCGGGGCCGGCGAGGAGCGGGAGCAGACGACGAGGGTTCGTCTGCTACGATGTGTCGCGGAACCGAACGGGGGAAAAAAAAAAAAAAAAAGCAGAATTTCTGATAGAAATCGCGTCCCGCGGGCAACGAAATCAAACGCGAGCTTGAATTGTGAGCGTCTGCTATTTCACGAAAGAAGCAATTTGACAACCCGTGATTTATTTGCAGGTTTCAAATCGCTCTGTTGCCGTACAAACGCTGAAATATACCAGTGTGTAAAGAAATGCTCAGAACAAACGCAACAGCGGCCCCCGAGATGTCTATCACCATCCGTGTGCGGGTGAAAAATTTAACATTTGTCGATAAAACTCCCCCAGCAGACACCTCTGACTGCCCAATAAGCATCAGAGAAAGCTAAAGATGGTGACTTTACCCGAAAATTGGGCAACATCATCATGTTTAACATTTACCTACGCAGCTAACTTTCCCCGTCGTATTTTCTTCGAGAAAGCTCTCGTTCTCGACGCCTTCACCAAGGCTAATATCTAATCCACCTATAATAACGATCCAAACCGAAAGTCCCAGTTTTGCTGGATATTCCAAAAGGCTAGTTTTAAGCCGTACCCTTTCAGTGGTTCACGCATAATACCATGCTCAAACGGATCAAGCTTCTGCTCGGACAGCATCATCAGTTTTCTTCCGTCTAAACGGTTATAAGGATTGAAAGATCGCAACCAGCTGCTTTGTAGAAAGCTGGTTGCGGAAATTTACGCCGTCTGTAACTATCTCTACGGCAGCCGAGCTGCTTGAAGACATCGCAACTATAAACTACAGGTTGCAGTTGCCAACGTTTGTAGATAAACGTTGGTAGCGACTGCATTCTCGCATTCCCACGCACTACTCGGAACAGAAAGGCGCTAGTTTCGGTTTGAAGTCGGTACCTTTTCTACAACATAGATGGCGGCAGCATCAGTCTTCTGCACTCGGTGCATTTGGCGAGTTCCTTTGAGTCCAGTTTTCCGTGCAACACTCTGTGAGTGCGATGCATTCTGGGAGAGAACTCGAACGGTGCCAGTGCGTGTGAAACGAACTCGCTATTATACTAGCCCACATCCGAACTTTTTTTCTTTTTTTAAAGGGCAACTCCGCTCAATTCCGAAGATTTCGGGATAATGAGTGATTTCGAATTAAAAAGGCTTAGTAAAGCACAGTACGTCGTTTGCTTCCCGAAAAATGGAATATATATTTTTAAATCTAATTTTAAACACGAGCGGAAATCGAAACCGAAACTCCGGCTCCGTCCGGCAACATCGGCCTCGGGCCGCCAAGTACATGGCCATCACGTGGTACACATCGCGACACTGTTAGCGCGAACACGACATCGGCGCATTTTCGCATTTTACTTCTAAATATTATTAGCGAGCACAAAATTTTATCGCCTACATTATAGAACTAAGTGAGGTCTTTCCGTATTAATAATAACTTGGGTGACAGCCCTTGGTTTCAAAAAGAAAAACGGGAAAAACCGGCGATCGCTTGTTCGCGCTAACAGTGTCGCGCTCTGTACGAGATGTCACGTGATCCTCGGCCCAACGACGGGCGGGATGGGAGTGGCGGGCGTGCGGCAGGCGCGAGTGTCGTCTGCACCGCACTCTTCGCCACGTTTTCGTGTCCACGGCATTCGACGACGTCTGCACAACTGCGGCATAAGTCTGCGACTCTGCGCACGTGGTGTCCATAGTGTGGACGAAACTCCGAGAGGCAACAATCACAAACGGTGAGACGACGACGGTGGTTGTGACGCGGAAGACGGCGGTAACGGCGGGACCACGGCGGGCGGTTGGTCTGCTCCCAAGAAGCGCGCTGCGCAGGCGCGTACGACAATCACGTGGACACCGCTGAGCGCCAAGAGGCAACGTTGCTGACGTCACGCGCTACGCTCGATCGGAGAAGTAAAAACAAGCAAAAGGGGGCCATATAGATGGCGTTTAGCTCAATGTTGGCTCCGCCCATGCCGTAGCCTTGACTGCGCTGTTGGTTGCGCCTGAATTCGCCCGCTCGAGTCAGCCGATTTCGGCAACTTGGTGAGTTGCAAAGTTTGCCGGACCGTTTAAGAAACATTTAGACAGAACTGCGTCGTAATATTTGACGTGTGGTCTTCCTATGCGATACTGAAGAGGACTGCATTGTTTTTTCAAAACCAAAAATGAAGCGGAGTTGCCCTTTAAGACCGGGAACTTGACACACTAAGCCCGATCACAGAAAGGACACAGATGTCCCGCGAAGGCCAATCCAAGACCTCTTTTGTTGCATGTTGAACCTTGGAAGAGGGCAATTACGAAGGCGTCACACAATGTCGAACCTTGCAAAGCCCCCACTCTCTCTCTCCCCTCCCCACCGTACTTTTATCGATATTTATCGGTTTAAACCGAAAACTCCGAACCCTAGTTATATTATTAGGACGCATAGATTTCAAACGCCAAAAGCGTCGCTTCTACCTCCGACAACGAAATATTGTAAGAACTACTTCGCGTGGCGTATGAACAATGTGCAAGACTGTTTTCACGAGAAAACGAATATAGACTTTTTTGTAAATTATCCAAGCACCAAGGAGAATGCTGAGAACGTAGGTACGCAAGCTGCACGAACTTGCGTACCTGTACAAAAGATTCGAAGTAAATAATTATTTGCTTTAGATATTTTCGTTCGACAAGTTACTGCTATACACGCCACCGCCTGTACCCACGTTCCCAGCATTCTCTTTGATGCTTGGGCAATTCGGGAAAAGTCAAGAGCAAATGGCCGAGTGGAGAATAAAATTAGATGATTTAAATCGCGACTTAAACCGGTTTTACTGGTTTAAATCAAACAATTTCAGCAAAAATACTTAAAAAATGGTATTTAACGTTTGCATACCATTTGATGCTCTCAATGTGCACTTGTTTTGTTTTTAAACCAAATAATCATCCAGCATGAGATTTAAAGCAGGTTGAACATGAACAAAAAGCGGTGCTAGTAAGTCGGAGCATTGAAGTTTCTTCCTACTTCGTTTGCCAGCTAAACAACGACCTCTGCACAAAAATCAAAACACGAAAAAGTTTTTTTCATTAAGAAAAAGTCAAGCTGTCTTCGTTCAAGTATGGTGGCGTTTACTTCAATAAATCCGTTAAATTAAATTGTATTTTAGAAGTCGAAATTTACAGCAATTCCTTACTCCAGATTATTTTCAGTGATCGGACGGATAGACCTATGAGTGATAAAATAGTGATACTTTTATCGAGCTATGATGATCTATATCAAATAAACATAATTTCCTTAATTCTTTTTTATTTTGGCAAATGAAGGTCGTGCCAAAACCATCATTCAAAAATTCCCGCGCTGTCAAGTGGGGTAACATCAAATGTTGTATACCTTGCTAGTCAAGCAGGCAGTCTAAAAAAAACAAAAAAAAAAACACACTTTTTATGTTCTTTTTTTAGTTCTTGTTCTGCTGGCCTCTGTTTTCCCGGCCTTAATTTCACACCATTAATCTTCCTGCACGCCTGGAACCAAATGTCTCCATATTACAACATTTAACGTCATGTTCTCAGCGTTACAGTAGAGCCCTTCGAACAAAATGTCGAAATTCAATAACTCCGGGACAAAAAGAAAAAAATAGGATGACTTCTAATTTGGGTTACTACTGTATTGAACAAATTTTGAAGAAAACCATGAAAAGAAGCAATTCAATGGAGACCACACAAGGAAGAACCAGAGCCAGAGTATGCAAATTCCTGCTTAAATTATACAAAAATTTATTTATCATACAATATGTACAGGGAAAGTCCGTCCGAGACAAACAGAAAAATATGCCAGGGCTAATTATAGTACAAGTTTACAACAGAGAGAAAATAACAGATCCTTATAAATTAGCTACTACTAACCAACAAAGCTACTGAGTGAAAAAATGCCTCTTCACTGGGATAACAAACAGAAGGTTCCAAAGAACAGGCTTGCAAGGAGGAAACGGGTGTCGACAAAAAGAAAAGGAAACAACTCTCTTTACAATAAAGGCGCTTTTTTGAACAGCGTGAAACACAGGGGGCAACCGGAAAGGGAGGGGAAGGCAGTGGGGAAACACACGTCCAGACAGACACACCGCCACTACCTCGAAGCTCCGGGCAGCGCCGGAAATGCAGACAACTTTGGTTTCTTCTTCGGAGGGCCTCTGGCTGCTCGACACCTCAGCCTCCGCTTCAACGTCACCCCGTCGACGTCGCTCGGGTTCAACCTCTGCAACAGGACGACGCAGTCCTTGGGAACCGCCGGCGCCGGAGGCGAATCAGACGCTCCCGCGACGGCCATCGCTCCCGCCTCGCGGCTGCTCCACGAACACCCCGCACCGTCGTCCTTCAGGGCGGGGTCTTCGACCCGCGTGTTCCTCCGCTTCGGGGTTGGGGACGCCTTGCAGTCCGCGACCGCCCTCCTCTTCCGGAGAAACCGCTGCGACGTGGCGATCGTGTCTACGGCTGCCGGCCTCAACTCGCCTCTACTCCCGCTCGTCCCGCGAATTCTTTGGTCCGGTGCTTCGGAGTGGCAGGCTGCGGCGAGCATCCGGCGGGCCCCGGACGCCACGACGGCGAGGTCGTCCAGCCAGTGCCGCACCTGGGCACTTGTCTTTGGTAGAGAGCTCAGCCTGTTCACAAGGCCTGTCAGCAGCTGCTGGTTGAGATCGGGACTGATCACCAGCTTGCTGTTTGACTGCGGGGACGAGATGACTAGGGAGCTGTCGGCGGCAGCGTGAACCAGGATCAGACCCGGACCGCCGGTCCGTGCTGCGAGGGGGTCGCGGGCTCGGTTCTGGAAAGGAACCGGCGACTGTTGCGGTTGCCGGGATGCTCCAGACCCGTGGCGCCGGTGGTCGCAGAGGAGCCGGGAAAGCATCAGGAGGAGGGCCTCTTGCAGGTTGGGTGCTAGGAGGTCCTGCCTACGGAAGGTGGACAGCACATTTGAGAAAGTCTCCGGGGGTAGCAGTGTCACGGGGATCGGGGACACGCGGTGCTGTCCGTTTGTGGGGGGTGTGTGGTTGACTAGACAGAAGTAGGATCCAGTCAACAGGGAGGAGAGGGCGTCCATCATTGTAGAAAGCTGGGGAAGTTGGAGCGATCTTCGGCAGAGTGCCGTAAGCTCTTGTGACCGGCCGCAAACATCCGGAAGGGGTGGGGGCATACTGCTGTATGAAAGAGAAAAAGAAATTTGCAAAATCTTTATTCATGAGTGCAGAGGCAGGACACCACTGATGCCGAAAGTTTAGGTTGCACAAGTTTATCGAGCCTAAACAACAAACTTAAGAACCCCTTTTGTATAATGCTGAGCATTTTGCTGTTGACAAGCCGCTAATCCGAATTAAAGGGCACATATATCCGTACTGCAAGCTCTGCAAGCTCACCCCAAAAAGAACTTTACAGTATGTACGGTCGGAGAAAATATGAAAGACCAAGCGAGCGCGTGGTTCCAAAAGCACCGAGCGCTACCTGAGAGGAGAAATCTAAACTATGACGGAGCTATCATGTGCCCGGGCATCGCTCCAGCGGCTGTTCAATTTTCGTAATCACTCCCCGCTTAGTAATTCCTTTACCGTTGACTCCATCCCCGATCACTCACACGCAGAGGGCTCAACAGGACGACCACATTGGATGAGCCACTATCGCTTTTGCTACTTGGCCAATATTGAACCCTGCAAGCTTCATCTAAAGTCAGCGCCGGGATAAGCACCGAGTTGGGGGTGACAACATAAAACAAACAGCTGCTCAAATGTCGCAAGCACATCATGCCTGCGGATATATCCGCTTTCCTTTGTTAGATGGCGCTGGGTGCATCAGAAGCTACGTGCTCGCTTGGCCTTTTTCATATTTTCCCCAACTCTACTCTTAACCAGCATTTAAAAGTTGAAAAGCATGTAGGAGCTCACACAAGTTTCTTCTCTAATATCTAACAATATCTCCTTGCTGTCGGAGATCAGCTCAACCCCAACCTTTTCTAAACTGCAATAGAACCTAGTTGGTATGTTCTTTCAGGGGAGCGGGGAAATAAAACATATATTCCGCAAAAACATAAGGAACGAGAATCGCATTTGGGGGGCGCTAGCGATGACACAGATAGCGACTGTCACGAAACAATTCATTTTACAGAACCGCTCGCAAATATGAACTCAGATTGGCTCAGGAAGAGTCTCAAAACATTCGTAGTTGTAAACTGAAATAAACATCCTCTAGAAGTTTGTAGGCGTGATCTTAAATACTATAAAAAAAAAGAAGGTTCGTGAAAATTTGTCGGTGTGGACTCAAATTTGTTAAAAAAACTTAGCAATTTCCTCCTGGTGCTTTGGCCGACGAATGCGGGCGAGCAACAGAGTCCTGGGCTTGTGGAAGGGGGTTTCTTCACTTCACAGAACACCAAAGCCACAAGAAAGGTCTTGTTGGATGACAGGCTCTTTTGTGTGTTCAGGAGAGATTGTGGCAAGCTAGATGAGTTTTGACAGAACCTTCTTTGCTCGAATTTGGAGCGGTACCAGAACCTGCAGTACGTCAGCAGAGTGCAGTTCTCGCAGCTTTTCTAAAGTGTGGAACCTCAGGTGGCAACACAAACTAGCAAACAAACAAAAACAAAGCACAATAATAAACCATTTTCATGTCGCTAAAAAAATACTTTTCTTGTTTTGCTGTTGGATTAATTGTGTTGAAGCAAAAAATCCACGAGTGAAGAGGAGCTTGCCTGTTTCGGTCTGTGCTTTTCACGAATTTTTAGCAGGTGTCAACTCAAAAGTGTTTCATCCGGCACACACACACCTTTTTTTCACAAGCAAAACAAAGATGACACACAGTTTCTTTTTGCCTGTTCTGCCAGTTCGTTTTGTTGTGCGATTCTTGGTTTTGTGCATGAAAAAACCTGCAGAAACTGTTCCTGGCCAATACATCGCAGCTTCCCGCAGGACCATGTTAAGAAGCTTCTGTCAAAACTTGTCTAGCATGCTGCGCTCTGTTCTGGATATACATCCAGCCCCTCATCTTGCAAGACCAACACCCAACGAGGTTGGGCAGGCCTTCTTGTGTCTGGAATGGATTGAGTCCGCAAGCGTGGAGACGAGGACACGGGTAAACGCCCCTTCGCAAGCCCAGGGTTACGTTGCTTCTATTTCAACCCTCCTCGGGCAGAACCACACTTGAGTTATGGCTCGGGTAAAGGGGCTTTGTACTAAGCCTCTCACAGTGTTCTGTCTTGTGTTGCACACAACAGCAGCGCACAACAATTAAGTTATGTATAATTGCGATAGCGCCACGTCCATAGCGATGAACGTTGATTAGCTCTTGGATGATGGCGCCACTGTCCAGTCGTTAAGTGGTTTGGTTGATCGTCCCCGTCCCTCAACTCCCCATCCGTGTGAATGGGCTTGGGAGGCAGACGATCTACGGACGTGTCATTACGTGATGAATCCGTCCGTGAATCGTTGTGTGAATCGGTCGGCACTATGTCAACGGCTTTTTGGATGCAAGAACCGGGAAAGCAAATGTACTAAGCAGGTGGGACCAGTGCTTGTGAACATAAAAGCCGGGAAAACAAAAAAATCGGGAACACATCAACGAAGTTCTACTGTAAATGTATAACATACTTGGGGACAATTTCCAGTGGCTATAAAAAGGTAGAGCTACGGCCACAAGAGCACTTGCGCAGCTTCAGCATCTATCAAAGCCGCACATGTACACGCTTTGCTTCTTCTGAAGTGCCATGGAAGGTTGTCCCCGAGTACGGTACACATACTTTCATCAAATATTTTAAGAATAACATGCTAAGGATACAGACCTAGTAAAGTAAAAAGCTCACCAAAACATGGAAGGTCTAGGCTGAATTGCACTGAAACTGCCTCCCACCAGCGCCGGAGTTCGCCAGCCCGCGAGGAACCTCCTGCAGATGGCCGCCCGCGGAAGAGCTAGCGTCGCCGTCGGCTTCCTCCCCAACCGGAAGAGTTCCGCCATGTTCCAGTCACACTTCCGCAGCCTCTTGACCCGCTTCTTCCGACTGCTTGCGCAGAAGCTGAATTCCCTCCGAAGGATGGGCACAATGGGAATCTCCAGTTCCGGAATCGAGACGAGCGGCGGCTCCTCGAGGTCTTCGCCATAGGATGTCTGTGGGGCCAGGAGCACGGTACCACCGCAGGCGGCGCCCGGGCCTTCGACGCCAGAGTCGCCCGGCTCCGACGCGGCAGCGGCCGCTCCGCGGTCCTCGTTGAAGGCCGTTCGTACCAGGAACCGTTCCACGAGGTTCTCCAAGGCGAACACCCTGGTGAGCTGGCTTGAAGACAGGCTGCTTGTGAGCTTCTTGAGCAGTCCGACAATCTTCAAAAGCACTGTCTGCTTCGAGCGGAAGGCCTCTTCGATGGGACGCCGCGCTGCCTCTGGGGAGGCTTCGAGGGCGCCGAAGAAGCCGCCCAAGTTGGTGATGTAGTCGTCGATGATGTCGTACACCGTGGCCCTGCCCTTCATGGTGTCGATGATAGTCAGGGTCGTGAAGAGGTCGATCTCGGCAACGGTCGTCCGGTACATGTGCTCGCTCGCCTTCGGGCTCGGAATGGCGGCGGTCTCCTCGCTCCTGCTCGCTTCCGATCCGAAGACCTCGTTGGAGGAGCTGATCCTCTGGCCCTCCGACTTGCACCTCTCCCTGGGTTTGATTTCGAGCTTGTCTTCGGAGACTTGTGGTGTTACGGGATGCTGCTCAAATTTTTTCGTGACCGGTGTTTCAGAGGAGCCTTCTTCGGAGTAACGCCTTTGAAGATTGTCTCGCCCGAGGAAAGGGGAAGTAAAGATTCGAAGAGGCGCGCTTGTCGGACGCGCGGGGTTTTCGGGGCAGGTCTGCAGTGCCGTTTCTTTGTGCGCAGAGTCCCGCGGTACGAGAGATTGAAACAAGGTGCTCGGTGACTTCTTTTCCGAACTCGTGTCCGGCGATTGTAGGCTGTCCTCCCTAGACACATCGGGTAAGCTCAAGGTGCTGAGTTTGGGCTCAAAATATTCTTTCTTTGAACTTGTTTTAGATTCGGCTACCACCGGTCCGCAGCTCTGATTCGGAGGCTCCCTCCTGCATTTTGTAAAGCTGTCCGCAAGTGCGGGGGACTTCCTCGACTGCGGCGTCTCCAATTCAATGCTCTTCCGATCGGTTTTAGGTATGTGCTCATTCGGACCCCCGCAGCTCTGGTTTCTAAAGACGCTGTTGTACACCGGCTGCTGTGGGATGGTTTGCATAGACAACTGCTTCTCTCCACATACCATTGGCAACCCCAAACTCCGAGCATTTTGAGTGCAATCCCCGGTATCCGTGTTCTTTGCCATACTGGGAAGGTCTAGAGGTTTCTGTATTCTAGGTTCCGATGTCTTCTGACACCCGCCACTGGCAAACCTCGGTAGGGATTTTTCCTTGCGCATTTTCTCAAGGTCTTTCCTCAGGCGCTGCGTCAACATCTCTAGACTGCGAGATGGGTGAGGGGCAGCGGTTTTTGATGCGGCAGCGGCCGGTGTGGGGCAGACGCTGGAACTTGCACTTTTGCTTGGCCTGTCCTCCGTTCTTAACGACGGCGTCTGGCCGAGGCTGTCCGAGACAACGGGTTGACCTGAACCCTCCTTGACTTTGTTGCACACTTTCAATTTCTCTCCACCGACCCATGAAAGGTCCGTGGAACCAGACGGCGAAGAACCGGTTGCGTTGCGTTCGGACTTAGTCATTTTCACGTCGTCGATCTTCGACAAAATGGTGCATGGCGGTGTCTTTGCGAAATTCTTCTGTGGCAGGTTCGAGGCACAGGACGTCCGCTCTGAGTGCGATGATGGCCTTTCGCCGTTTACGTTGCAACCGGGAGGAGCTTCGTCCTTGTGGTTTTCCTGGCTTCGTCGGGCCGGTTTTGCAGTGCCCTGCCGTTGAAGCCCCATGATGCTCTCTTTGATGCGAGCTATGTTTTTCAGACTTTCCGAAACGGTGCAGACAGGAGCGCAGAGCGCCGCAACGCCCTGCTGTTTCTGCAGCTCGATGTCAGCGCTCAAGTGCTCCGTTTTTCCCGCGGTGTTTGCAGTGCCTCCTGTTGGAGACGAAGGTTTTTCGTCCGAAACGTCGGCCCCGGGGAACTCCAACCGAAACACACCGGTCTGATTGATTCGAGGAATAATCCCTGCGCCGGTCTTTTCTTTTAGCGACGAACAGTTTGGCGTTGGCGGCTCGACGGACCTCCGCTGCGCTTCCAAAGTCGAACTGGCCGTCAAAACGGACGGCTGCTTTGTGCTTGTGACACTGTAGGCTTGCACGGAGGAGTCTTTCTCGACTGGTGGCACTGGTGTGCATGCTCGAGATGTGGTTGAAACTTCGTCTGCTTTGCTGGTCGCGCCTCCGCAAGGCCTCAGCGAATCGCCCTTTTCCGTTGGAAGCGACTTCTCCGCTCGTGCCGGTTTTCCCACCTCCGCCAAGCCAACGCCGTCCTTCGCTGTGCTTTTCAGGATGTCTTCTCGTGTCCTCCGGGAATTCTGAGAGGCTATCTTCTCCACCACCCTCAAAATATTAATTTGTGACGCGGTCCCGTCCCTGTGGCCGGGCGACTCGATTGGTCTCGAGACTCTCTTTGGCGAGGTGGGCGGCGAGGGGCGGGGTGGCGGCGGACCTGACGGCACCATCGCGAGCTCCGTGCCTGCAACTTTCCCGGCAGTACCCGTTTGATTTTGTACTCCCTTACTGCCGCCCGTCTCCTTCATCGACAAGTTCAGCGCCTCCTTGAAGAACTTGCTCTTCTCCGAGTCCTTTCCCCGCCCGTCTGCTTTGGCGTCGACGGAATGCGTCGTCGACAGGTCGAGGCCTGACTCCGGCGCCTTGTCCGTCTCGCGCAGCCGCTTGTTCCTCGCGTGCGTGATCGTCAGTGGAATGCTGGTTGCCGGGTTGGGAATGTACCGCGGGATCACCAGCTCCGACAACTTCTTCGGTGGCGACTCCAACTCCCTCCGGCTCTTGCCGGGTTCCCGGGGGCCGCCCGCGGGACACCTGGCGGGGGCTTCCGACGGCTCCGCCTTCTCGACGAGTGGCGGCGTGGCGGTGGTCGTGCCCTTCTTTTCGGGAGCCCCGCCCGTCAGCGGCGGAGATCCGCAGGCGGCCTTCTCCTGTTGAGCGTCGACAACCGGGTCCGGTTTCGTGATCTTAACAGGATTTGTCCTCTTGCGGCCTCTCCGCTGCTGCCCCTTCGCGGGCAGTGGCTCCTCGAGGGACGACCGTCGTTTAGGTCTCTCGTCCTCGTGCTCCTTCGCCGCCTTCGGACTCGGCGTGGCGTCGCCGCCACCCACCGCTGCGGCCGCCTTGTGTGCGCGGACCCACTTGCTCTGCTCATTCACCCAGTCTTCCACGGACCTGCGCTTGCTCTTCCTCATGTCCTTCTTGTTCGACCCGTGGTGGGCGGCGGCGGCGACATCCGGTTTCCTGCACGGGCTCGGCAGTGGCGGCTCCCGCGGAGCTGTTGGCCGGACCGTCTTTGTGGCCGCTTCAATTTTCGGCTTCACTTCCGACGCGGGTGACCGCGACCCCTCCGCCACGACGTCTTCACAGAATCCTGAGTCGTGCAGGGTCTCCGCAACCACCGCGGCAGCCGCGGGACGCAGTTGCTTCTCCACCTTCAGGTTGCTCTTCTCGTCGCGGGTCACCCGGAGAGTTATCTTCTCCGGAATCGCCGCAGCCGGTGCCGGCGAGGGCGGGCCCCCTGGAAGGTTCCGAAGAGGCTCCTGCGTCACCGCTTGCTGCTCCTTCTCGAGCGTCATGTCCTTCAGCTGCGTCACCACATTCCGCAGCTCCATCGGCCCGCGTCTCCGCCGACTCTTGCGCCGTCCCGACGAGTCCTCCGCGTCCGACTTTTCCTCCGACACCTCGCTCTGGCTCCCGCGACGCTGGAGACGCTCTGATTCCGGGACCTCGGCTCCAGTTGCTGCCCTGTCTACGGGCGGCGGCGTTTCCGGCGGTGGCGGCGGGATCGGCTTGATCCTGAGGCTTGTGATGACTGGTATTGCCGGCTTTGGCTTCTCCGCGGTGGCTTGCTGGCGCTTGGCCATCATGTGTGCACGCTCTATCTCTTCGTTGAGGCTGTTAACCGTTGCTAGCCGCGGTCTCCCACGCTTACGGGGGGAGGAGTGGAAGAGGGACGGATGAGATTTGCTCAACGTCATGTATGTTGGAACTGCGGTCGCAACCGGACGGTTCCCGGTGGCCCCCGAAGTCGTCGCGGCTGGCAACTCCGACGGTAAAACATTGTCCTTCTTCTCGCAGGGGGAGACTGGCGGTGGGCCGACCGCTACTGAAGCTACCTTCTGGGCGGGTTTATCAACCGGGCTGTCGAGCTGCCCCTTTGCGCCTTGCCTGTTTGCCCGTAATGTCACCGAGAGACCAACAACCTCGTTAGCTTCCTTCTCCGCGACTGCGGCCTTGCTTGTTTCTTTCAGAGAGGCAGCTGCCTTGAGTGCATTGATTTTCGCCCGTGCCTTGTCGGCGGCCCTGCTGAAGCACGTCTGCAGTTTCGCCGATTCCAGAACCGTCTCGGCTGCAACGGAGACTTGGACAACCGGTTCGGGAATGGAAGAAACCGCTTCAACGACGTCTTCGATAGTCGGCGTAGCCGTATGGTTCACCAACTTGGGGTCGACTTCACTCTCCACAGCGGTCGCACTTCCCAGAGACGCTCTCTTAGAGCTCGGGTCGAGCTCGAGCACGATTCCCTTGACCTTGAGCTTCTCCGACAAATCTTTCAACAGATCTTTTGCTGCGCCGTTCGGAAGAGGAACAGGTGGTGGCCGATCAATGGTTGTGACACTTGCGCCCTCGACCCTCGCTGTGCTCCCGTCCTCTCCACTTGGTGTGCTTGCGCAGCCCACTTGCAGAAGAGCTTTCTCCTTGTCGGCCCGACCGGACGCCTTGGCGGCCGTTCGAGGAAGCTCTGCCGCAGGAACGTCGTGGACACGTGCTTTCGCAGGTTCCAGACACTCCGCAGGCACCTTCAGTCGTAACGGGGGAACGGCAGTCTTGCTTTTCTCCGCTTCCGTGGGCATGGTTGTCGGACGACAAGGAGCGTCTTTCTCGCATTTGGCGGCACCAGTCGGAATGGACCTCTCGGCGCTGCCCGGCTCGGCGCCATGAATGGGAGGCTTTGGGACTGTGCAGGTTTGATCGCAGTACGGCTTGGCCTTTGCCAACTGCCGACAGTTTTCAGGTACTGGCTCGATGACATCCTTTGTTTGTACCGGTGCTGGTGTCTTTGCCTTTGTTGCAGCTTTCAAGCCTGTTGTTGGTGCCTTGAGGTCTGGAACGCTCTTGTCGAGGGGGGGCGTCGAGGTGGGTGCAACGTCTGCTTTGCTTTGTACTTTTGGTTCTGCCTGCCCCGGCAAACCGTCGGAGCACGCAGGCTTTGTGTCCGAAGCTTCCCCAGTGGTAAGGGGCTTGGCGGTGCTGTCGGTGCCTCCTGGTGTGGTGCCAGCGTCCTTGCAGCTCCTGCTGCTACCCGGAAAGTTTACGCTGAAAAAGAAAAAAAAAGAGTAATGATAAAATGACAGACTGCCCGGTTTTAGTAAACTTTGCCAAAATTTATGTCACTTGTTCTCGGTCGCCGTCTCGATGAAGGGGACTCCTAACAAGCGTCGGATGAAGCCGAGAAACTTGACCCCCTTGGATTTGCAAGAATATACCGGTGCTCTGTTTACACAAACCCAAGGTCCCATATCAGTCTGCCTACTGCGGCTCGACTCACAAACTTCCAAACGTTTTCCTCGGCTCTTTAAACAAAGTTGAATCTTTAAAAAGTATCCCAAGAGCTACTTCGGCAACAGCAATAGTGCCATGCTTGGCTTCAAAAGCGACATTAAAGGGGCCATGAAACACTTTTCCAACTTTTTCCTGCTTAGGTTTCCTCCTCAACTCATAAATCACACATTCTACCAAACAGTTCAAGAAGACGGAAAGGAGGCAGTCCCCTCTTGCTCGGACTCTCGTTTGTGTACCTGGACACAGCCATTCTCCCCCTAGAAGATTAGCCCATCGCTCAAAATTCAGACAAAAGTTGCTTTCCCCACCCCGTTCACAACGAAGCTGACACTGCTGCGGAAGCTACGTGTTCGTTGGGCCAGCCACACTTTCCATGTCTCGAGCGCTAGAAATGGCATGGGCCATAGTGATCTCATCTCGTTGATTTATTTTTGCTCGCAATGCAGCTCTGCTCTTTTAAAATATTCACCCTTTGTTTCACTTATTTTCTGCTTCACAGATTTTTGTAATGTACAAGAATTCCAGTACTAGGCTGCAAGCGTGAGCTCTTCGAGGAATGCATCTTGGCTGCGCGAAGTTTCAATCAGCAGGAGCAACTGCGAAAGATAACGCTACATGCTCAAAATTACTGCCTTAAAAAAAAATATATATATCACCATTAAGGGTCAAGTATTTGTTCAGAGCACCATAAAAGGCCAGCTGAACTTATGAAAATAGAATAATCTATTATTTTCCTAAGTTCAGCTGGCCTTTTATAGTGTTGTGCACCAACCAGCACAACTACAGCCTGTTGTTCAGAGCCTTGTAATAAAAACCACCAGGAAAGCACTAAATGTCCAATTAACAGATTGTTTTTTTTAGACACATGTTGAGCTTGGTTAATTCCTGAGTGAATTGAGCAATGGGAACAACAGTGTACTTGCTTTCTGGTTCTACTCAAAAAGCCAGCACGTTGACGGGGGCGGTGTCATTTTAATTCTTGTTATCACATCAAGTCAGGGCCCAAAGTAGTCATATAAACAAATCAAATCTAAAGGTGTCACTGGCAAAGCTGTGAGTTTACAAAATGCATAGAGCACGACGTTTCTTATCTTTAAAATCATTTGACCCCGACCTTCGTCTTGTGTTGGCCCTTGACCTTTCCGATGTGGACTATTCTGGCCCCCACACTTGAATGAGTTTGAGACCACTGCTCTAGTGGAACAAGGGCAATACCGGCTAGCACACCCCAACTTTTGGGCCCTTGCCCCCTCTCTCCTCCCACATCTGCATGGGGACGTACCTGTCCTTGAGGAATGCGGGGCCCTCGCTGCTGTCCCCTCTTGGGGGACCCTGCTGCTGCGCCTGCTGCTGCGGGGCTCCCTCCCGTGTGGCCCCGTCGCCGGCAAGCCCTGGCGGCACCGTCGTCACTGCCACCCCGGTGGGGAGTGGGCCAGGGGCCCTGGCGACATTCTCCGAGATCCGGTAGAACAGCTGGAGCGGGACGTCCTGCCAAGGGACGGTGTGCTCCCGTTCGCCACTGGCTCCTTCCTTCTCTCGTGTTTGTGCGCATCGTTTGAAAAGTCGGGGACGCCACGTTTGAGACACCTTCCCGGCGGACCCCCAAACCTCTCCTAAGGCGGTATCATGCCGGGGAGATATTCGCAGAGAAATCTCACTATGTTTGGGAGACCCAGGGGCACCGCACAACACCGGTTAATGGGGAAGTGCAATGACTTTAACATTGAAAGAATTTGCAGCTCACATTTTTTGTGATGTTTACCTTGGCACCTTTAGAGAGAAAACGTCCCATCTTCCCCAGAAGTACTGCAATTTCGCTGTCAAAACGCGAAGGGAAAAAAACTTTTTTCTCTCATCTCCAGTAAAGTCAGTCTGGCGGCCGTCGGAACTCAGGTGTGATGTCGTTCAAAATATGCAGGCTTTTGCGGAGCCGCCTAGTGAAAGTCAACGAAACCATCTTATGCTCTGCGGCGAACCGTGCTTTGTCGCGATCGCTTGCCGTGACCTTCAACGATGCCAAGCGCGCATAGTGCCGAATCTGACCTTGAAAAGTCGGCAATCGTGGAAGCAGGGCTGGTGGCCTTGAATAACCAACCTAACATGGGACTCTTGCCACTGCGCTCGTCACTCCCGAGGTGGTGCGAGTGGAGAGCTACTCTGACCTTCGACTTGTTTGATTTCTTTCTTATGAAAACTAGCGCATGCAAGAAAAAAAGCGGTTTTCTACAAGTAACACAGGTCATTTCCTGCAAATTATTCGGCCCAAGTCTGAAAATCGTTCCACTGCCCCTTTCGACTGCTGTTTTGGACTAGTCCACTCACCCTTTTCCAGCGGTAGATGTAAGCAATGTCCATCAAGGTGTACTTGCTCCAGAGGATGTCGTCCAGGTAGTAAATGTCCACCTGAAAAGACGCACACACCAGATTAGTCGTCACTTCGCACCGTCGCCCCCATGCGCAACCGGGCTTTGGTTTCCAACTTTACCGCAACAGTTTATGCAAAGTCACCCTCTTCAAACCTTTTATGGCTTTGTAATCTACCTAGTAAACCAAATTGTTAACTTCTTTAAAATGCATGTTCTACCACTCTTGAGGGTACACTACAACTGTAAGTGGTTTTTCTATCTCACTTAGCAAGCTCTGCGTACCATTTCATATTCGTCAATCTAATTTCAACAAATTTCCAACCTTAAAATGTCCTTTGGATAATATTACTTCTTATAATCATAATAATACTATTAACAGCATTAAAGGGGTATTTCAGTTTTTTTTTTTTTTTTTTATATCATCCTTTTATGGTGCAAACTTTATCTATGTGCCCTAAGTATTCTAGAAAACCCAAAATGGCTACCATATGTAACCTTTTTTCTGATTAAAAGAAAACCAAAACATTGCAAATGCAACTTTCTTGAGGAACACCAAAAAAAGGAGCATGTTGTGATATTTGTTTACAATTTCATTAAAAAAAAAGGCTGTGCATGATAATAATTTCAGGTTTTCCAGGATGCTGAGGGCACGTAGAACGTGTTTGGTCCAGAAAGATGACCTCAAAGACCACTTTACTAGCAATAATAAAGTAAGCCAGGAAAGCAATGGCTGTGACTCACTTTGTACTTGGAACTGATGCCATACTTCATTCTGAGGAACTTCTGAAGAAGTGCTATGGTCACAGCTGCGGGGCAGTTGAGGTAACGCTTCACAGGTTCCTGCGGCGATTCATAAGAAGAGCAAAATGAGACTCTGAACAACAAAGTCACGCATCACCAAATTTGTTTAAGAAATGGTTGCCCAGGCCAGCCAACACCTGTCTCTACATAGTGACAAAAAATTCTTTATATTACATTATGTAGCCTTAGTTTAGAATCTTTCAGCATCTTTTGTTGCACATGGTAAAACTAAACTTAAGTACCTTTAACAAGGTGTGAAGTTGGACGAGTTGGTTGATGGTCATACTGAATGGGTTAAAACAGCGCAAAAAGGCGAAGGACCAGTAAAAGGAAACACAGACACAGTGCTGACTTACAACTGAAATTTTTACTTCTGCACCATTCAGCAAGTAAACTTGAAACGAGATAAACATACAAGGCAATCGACCCGATAACACATATGTTTACCCCGTTTCAAGTTTACTTGCTGAATGGAGCAGAAGTACAAACTTCAGTTGTAAGTCAGAGCTGTGTCTGTGTGTTTCCTTTTACTGGTCCTTCGTCTTTTTGCGCTGTTTTAACCCATTCAAGTACCTTTCACACACAAAAAAGAGCTAATAATCAAGATCAAAGATTTCAGTATTCTTTTTTCACTATATTTTAGACAACAAAATTTTTTGGTTGCAAACATAGCCTGAAGGTATGCCTTCTTAGATCACCCGTTACAATCTTAGATCAGCTGTTACAATCCTGCAGCTGTTAGCATAAACAATCTCCATGCTAACAGCTGTGGTGGCATGCACAAGCAAGGGAGTTAAGTTGCAGGAAGTATAATTATAAGGACATGCAACGGAGCAAAACGAAGTTACACATTTAGTTCTCCCCAAAAGCAGGCACTGTACAGGTGTCCCCTAGACCTCAAAACCAATAGTCCTCTAGCTTTCCAAAAAAAAAAAGAAAAAGAAAAAGGACTTTTATTTTGATGAAACAGGAATAAAGTACATCTAAGAAAATGCAGCTTTACCTATAACGGACATGATTGCTTCTGTGTAACGCACTGGGCACATGTCAGTTACTAAGACTGAAATGAGCTGAAAATGTCAATCTTGGAGAGGCAAAGCTTGTTCTCCTCCCTCTTTTATCAGCATAGGTAATGTCAACTGATGTTCTTCACTTTCCCACCCTTCTGCAAGGAGCCATAGCCACATTCAGGCTTTGCCCCATCCCAAGACTGTCAACAAAAGTAACAAAAATTTAAAATTAAATCAATGGTGATGTTCTTTCACAAGCTACATGATCCACAAAAGGGGGACACAAAGTACACTCTTCCGAGAAGTCATCGTCGAGTAACGATTCCCGCCAAAGAAAAAACGGCAGAACTGACTCCTACTGTTGCGCCTTGGTCAATACGCACCTTGAACGCTGGATTGCAAGTTCCCGGCGTGGAGTCCCCTCCCTCCAACCTCGAAGAAACACTGTAAAATAAACAACTAAAAAAATCAATAAACAATACTAATTACAGGCGCTGATCAGTATTTCGGACCCGACAAGGGTTGACGAGCAAAAATCTGAAAATTTTGAGCAGTCGGAAAGAACTATTTTCGCCAAAACATTCAGCTCCCTCGCAACTTCTGCTTGGTATCGGTTGCCCATTTTTGCTTGTTTGATAATTGTAGCCCTCTCCGTTATCATTGTGCAGTATCTACTGTGTTCTGTCGGGAATCTCTGTTGGCTCCACTGGGAGACAACTTCAGCCCACCAAGATTGCTTTGCAGCTGCAGTGGGCAACAGGTTAAAAGGCAACAAAAGCTCTGCCCCCAAACAAGTTTTCTACTTTTAATTGTGGGCATGTACAGCCAAAGTGAAATGAAAGGCAATAAGCGTGTGCACTGGAAACCGAGCTTCTACCGTGCTCTTGACATGTCACTGAAAGTGCACTCCAACACAAAGAATACGAGAACAGCTGTTTAGAGCGCCTGGCGACGGAAGGCCGATGGGCGCAGCGGTGTGCTACGGCGAAGGTCAAGGCGACCGCATCCACAAGGTAAAGGACGGATCTAACGAAACTCGGATATTACGCACTTTGCACGAGCAAGGTCGAACAGAGATGAAACTTTGTACATCTGTACGGAACCCTAATTGCACTACTGTACACTCTGCTACGCCTTACCACGGGGGCCTAAATCTCCCACCGGTGGCAGGGGGTCTCTGTTGTTGTACCATCATGGGGGGGGGGGGGGGGGTTAGTGGGACATACTTTGACAAGCAGCTTGACCTTAAACTAATGACATGCATCCAAATGCTGACACGGCGTCCAACTACGTCAGTCGAGTGCTGCGTCAGGAACACGCCTAAATATTGCGTGTTGTACCCATGGGTTTAGTTCTCAACTTCGCCGCTAAGGGTGAGACTGTTCAATCTATTCCTAAAAGGGGTATCGGACCCCCTCGACAAAATCCGTGGGGGTCTGAGATCCCCCCAGAACCCCCGACTTTAAGCGCTGGGGTCTCCAAACCCCACGGTCGTTACAGTGACGCCCGGCCCACGGTCCATTCCCGGCAGACCTGCTGGTACAAAAAGAAGCGCGTTTAAAGAAACTGCGATGCGACGAGCTTCGTAACTATTCCACTTCGTATCTTGCTGATTCAATCTTAGTTTCCTGTTTCGTGGCTCTGTAACTACGTTAAAATTATTTTGCTTTCTTACGTATATCACGCTTAGTGTCCCGTGTCATAAGCATCGCGTATTGTCATCATCGGTGCTACCATTTTTATAATTCTTATGCCAATGGTTTCCGGGCTACAGTTATTGTGCAATGTTGCAGTCGGCTAAATATTAATCTATATAATGTATTGAACTGTGCTATAGGGCGTTTTCATGTGACGTCCATCTGCCATTTTGATGTTAGGATGAGTGAAAAATTGTTTTATTTTATCAGAAGAAAACAAAATGATTGCGATGAAACAAGTTTTTGTGCACTATACTTATTCAAGGTGTCACGCATGTCTCCAGAATACTCGCCCCTGCGAGCGCCAGACGGTTCACTACAACGAAATGGTGCACGAAATTATGTCGGTGAAAACGACCTAGTGCTTGCAGGTCTCCTTATTGACGCATAGGGTTTCATTAACACCTTGGATTCCTTTTTGTAATTTTTAAACTTCTGTACTAAAACGCTTATCTATACTCTGTTTCATACTTAGTGTGCAACGCTGTCAAAGCTACAGGCACGAGCATGGGCTTGGTCTCGATCATTTGCACGAGTTCTCACGCAAACAAAACCATAGATAAAGCCACGCACTCGCGCAAGTAGCTTTGACAGGGTTGCACGCTAAATATGAAGCAGAGTATAGGTACATTTATTTAGTAGTGTGTTTTTTTACATTTTATCTGTTTATTTTCTGGCCCTTGAGACTGCGACAGACCCCTAGCCATAAGGTCAGGAGACCCCTAGTACATCCGTGTTCAAACCGGAAAGAACACTCACATGTGCTTGTACTCCAGAGACAAGCTGACCGCCTCGTCAGGACTGAAGATGACCCTGCCGCTGCTTGAGTTGTCCAGCTCTCCCTTCTCCTCCGGAGTGAGCGTGGCACGTTCGTCTGCGGAACACGACAGAGACACCTCAACGTTCGGCGCGTTCCGCCTACGGGACAATGCGTGGGGCAGGCTCTCAACATCCCATTAGGCTACAGAACAACATGCAGGGTGTGCGAGCATCCGCAGGCACGTGAAGTCGTCGCCTACCCTTTCCGCTCCGCGAGCTGTAGAAGTCTCGGCGTCGCTTCATTTCCTCTGAAACGTGCAGATGTACAAACGTTAATGACGTTGACGAGATGTAACATTAAAGAAAACTTGAAATGAGGAGCAGCGAGTTGGACACATTGGACGAGCTGAGTCCACGATCAAAATGAGACTACTGAGAGAAATGCTGGCACCAGCTTTCCATTTTTGAGTTCTTGACAGTTGGCAAATGAGAGATACGGTCACGCAGGAATGATTAAATCGGTCTACATATTTAGAGTTGATATTCATAAAATAAGAACTTTTTGTTATTACGCAAACTGCTCTAGATTCTCAATTCATAAATACATAATACTCTCGCACAGAACACTGTGAAAGAACACTGCTTCTCTTTTACTGTGCAACATTAATCTAACCCACGCAAGAGGGACTTGTTCAAGCTAAGTGCAAAAAATAGCGTAGATACAGGGCACTCACTTTGATACAGTCCTGGAATTGCTTTGTAGACTATGTTCTGGAGGATTTCATCCCTTCTGTAAAAAAACAAAAAATTTCAACCTCTTTCAATCACTTCAGGAAATAATTGCAAACAATTTACCGTAAAAAGCTACTGTCGCAGCTTGAGGAAGGCTCCCCCTCCCATTTACGAAGTTGCAAGAGCTTTGTAAATAAACAAATAAATAAAAAAAACTGCGAAGCGAAAGATGATATCGAGACCTACCTAGCACCACCCCCATACGGAAGCCACACACACTTCTGTGCGACGACGCCTTCAGACTGCACCACCTCCAAGCTGACAGGAACGGTGGAATTTACAAAAAGGCTCTGCTCGGTATAAAAGTCTATCCTCATTTTCGCTTAAAAAAAATTCATACTGAAACAAACTCGGCTGCTCGCAGATTGCCTCCATACAATGAATTAAGATACATGTATCCCCATTCTGAGAACGGCTGTTTGTCATTTGATAAAAACATGCACATCAAAATGCAAAAAGTGTGTCATTTCTCCGCCAACCAAATCTCTCGAGGACCACCGCGCACGGCGTACAAAATCGAATTTGGGGTTTTTACGTGCCAAACCAACGAAGGGCATTTGGCATTCCCCAGTGACGGACTGGAGAATTAATTTCAACCGCCCGGGGGATCTTGCGATGTGCAACCGAAATCCGGGTCCCCCACGGCGCCTTCCCCGCAATAAGCCTCCCTCGCGGCGTGCAATAAACGGGGACGGACGTCGGTGTCTGCGTGCCCGGCATGCAGACACCGACGTTTTTCCCGTGCACTGGAGCAACGAATGATTTTCATCAATCTGCCACACAGCCACCTATTCGCAAGCACATTCACCCGTGGCCAATGGGCGGCACGAAAGGTCGCCGAGGAGCTGCATATTCCATGTGCCCGCACAAGCAGCTTTTGTTGCTCGTCGACCGCACAGCCCGAGTGAAACTCACCTTAGCTGCACTTCCATGTTGATCTTTGACAGGCGAAGTTCACAGACGGGGCAGCTGCTTCCGGTTTCCAAGTGCTTGAGGATGCAAGACTTGCAGACTGCATTTTTCGACACGAGAAAAAACAAACGCCGGTGAAGCGAACGCTTCCAAGAAACCAAACGGGAGCCGAGCGGAAGGCTCCAAGCTTTTTTCGCGCAGAATGCAATCTGGGAGAACAAAGGCCCGTGGCCGTACGAGGCAGGTGGCTGAACAATAGAAGGAAAAGATATCAATATGTTTCGAGAGGCTCGCTCCATCTGCTATACATTCTTTAACGGCTTGGGTGGGTCATCCTGAAGAGTTTTGTGGTTTCGGAAGAATTCGAGGAAATCCGAGGCATGCGGGCTGGTCGATTTTTCGCTGAGCTGAGCCGATTCTAGCTTAACAGTTAGATCCGAAAATAAAAAGCTGACAATCGAGGGAAAGTGCAGATGCATTCACGGACTGGGAAGAGGAGGCAAGACATTTCTTTCTTTTCTGTTCTTGTTTTTACAAAATAAACTTGCACAATGGACAACAAGCCTTGCCCTTTTGCTGTGACCGGAAATTAACTGAACCCCCCCCCCAAAGAGTCACAAAAAAATATGATCTCTCTTTTGCAATTTCTGTGTCATGCAAGTTCGCTCTTAGATAGTAGTATTGTCATCAAATAAATGCACCACCTAAGCCCTACCTGTCTGACAACTCTCACAAGGTTGGGCTTTGCGCCAAGCTACAACATATTTGATGCATTTGCGACATAAACACACCCGCCAGAGCGCAGTGGTAAAGGCAAAGGGAGCAAAAACGGGAGCAGGATGCGACAAATCGCAGGCGCTGACATTGGTGGTGCCGAGAGAAAGAGTGAGGGAGAGAGTGACCGAAGAAGGCAGCCAATACATTAGGCACGTTCATTCTGGATAAATGGATGCTAACAGCTTTACCCTTTATAGCGGGTGCTAGCTTGCGCCACCTAGCCTAGAAACTATAAACCAAAAGCATGATCCCTCCCTTTGCCCCTCTAAGCAGATTTGCTTCCCCTTTGCAAAGTTGTAACTATCACCAGGCGGTGTGGGATGTCACCACGATGATCTTTAGGGATCTGGCCAAAAAAACTAAAAAAACATCACCCCTGCCTCTTCTTCCCGGTGAGGGAGTTGCCAATTTTCCTCCGGTCAAGCCTAGTCGGCCTTACCCCAGCACCGGGCCCACTGGAAGACAGGGTAGATTTCTTCTGTCCCACCAGTCCCCAGCTGTGTTAGTTGTAAGTCATTAAATTCTCCCTAGATAATTTCCACCAGTCTTCCAATTTCCTCTTTGTTATTAAAATGCACCTATCATCCATTCTTGCATTCTCGTCTGCAAACCCCAGCGCTCCGGCTACATCCGGCGCCTTTTCCAGGAGGGTGGGAGCAAGCATTGTGCACCTCAACATTGCGTGTCTTACTGTCTCGTATTCCCCTTGGCATATGGCACACCGTGTACCCATTTCCTCATAGATTATCTTATATGTCCTACTGAATACTCCCGAATGGCTAGGTTGGACATTTACGTGCATGTTTTAAAAGGTCACTTAAGTGACGTAATGGCATCTGATGGCTGTGCCAATTGCCTCCACCAATCGGATGCCATTACGTCACTTCCTTGGCCTTCTAGAATGTACATGTGTCCAATCTAGCCGTCCTGTTCTAGCCTCGAATAACGACAAGCTCCTTCCTTATTTTCCGTTTTCGTCCCATAAACACAGTCAAAGCCGATTTTCTCTGCATTCTTTCCTCTCACAGTTCTGCCGTTACAGATCGAGTGGTTGCCAACTCTAGTTTTCATGGTACGACACACGGCGCCAGTGCTTCCTTGCAATCCGAAGCTAAACTGGACTAAGCGGCAACCTTGCAAATGGCGAATGGTACTGCGAATTACTGCTTCTCTGCGTTTGTTAAAGCCCCGCCAGCAATATGCGGCCACGGGTACCACCGCCGTCTACCTCTACGTTCCGACATTTCGAGGCAGCCGAAATGCGAGGGAAGACAGCAAACCTTTTCTTCTAGATTGAAGGCTCTTCCCACATTTGCATCTGCATGTGACCGACCACATGGCAACAGCTTGTAACTCCTTACGGTGACTATTGGGTAGCCCAAGAGCACTATACCAATCTGCATATGTTTCCTCTTATTTTCTTTTTTTTACGCACCATTCGTTCAGCGTGGGCTTGAAATAACGACGCCAACGTCAAGAGAGCGACCAGTTCTCGTAGACAGCGCGGTAATTTCATCTTGCAAATAAAGCTAAACTGTCGGTCTAAATATGAACAGATAGAAAGTGCTCCAGGGATACCCAACACATGGCGCTCCATTCCCAGATTCTCTTGTGGGCACCGCCATTTTGGCGCTTCGTGCAGAGTTGGCGCAATTGGTGACCGTTACGATTCGAAGGAGACTTCGCGAGCTTCGGATATAGCGTTAAAAAGTCCAGGCCACATGGTTTCGCTCCATCGCAGACTATTCTATAACTTTTGGCAGATCAGAAAACCATTTTCAGCGACATCGGGAAGCGTTTTGCATAACTGGCAAACTATGATTTCAAACAACAAGATGGCTGAAATGTCGTTACTTTGAAGCGTAGCAAGTTTGGTGGCTCTTCGTGACCGGTCACACGTCGTGTCAAAGCGCTCGGTTGCACTCAAATGCGGACGTGTCGACTACGTCGCCTGAAACGTGTCTCTGACCGGTCGGTTTAGCGCTCTATTCCTCCCGTGCGTCGCAAGTGTTCTTATAGTGGCAACAAATGATGTCACATAGGTCGGAGTGTAGCATTGTCAGACGCCCAACTCCTGGCTGGCGAAGATTCTGTGGACCGTCAAGGTGGACGGTGACCCGCGGTGGAACGGGCACCTGCCAAATTCCACCACCGCTGCTGTTACATTGAAGGCGACGTCAAGGACAGTGTCCAGGATGACGCTGAGGATGGCGTCAAGGATGGCGTCTAGGACGACCTCTAGAACGGCTTCTAGGGCAACCTCTAGCACATCAAGGACGGCGTCTAGGACGACCTCTAGGACGACGTCAAGGATGATCTGTAGGACGTTAAGGACGGCACCTAGGACAACGACAATGATGGCGTCTAGAACGTCGTTTAGAACCTCTAGGACAGCATCTAGGACGACGTCAAAGACGACCAGTAGGACGACCTCTAGGACAAGGTCAAGGACAATATTGAGGACGATCATCGGGCATCTGCCACATTCATTACCAATGCTGTGACCCCGCCAGTATCGTGGCTAGCGATAGTGCAACACTTCCACGACATTGTCGGGTGGAAACCGCAGGACCGCTTTTTGGGACACAATAAACACACCAGTTGAAGACGCATTCCAGGCACCATAGCGTGAGTCAGCCTCAGTTATACAGTCTATGGATGCAACAAAGCAGGAAGTGGCGAGGGCACTCACAGGAGTGTAGACACTTGACCAGGGTCACCGCATCCACCAGGTACCCCCGGCAGAGTGGGCAGCTGAGGCAGCTGTTGAGGCTGGCCACTGGAGGTCGCTCCCACGGGGGCCTGGAAGTGGAGGGGCCGCCCAGGGGGCTGCCCCCACCACCCAGAGCTGCCATCCGCTAGTGCCGCCGGCGGGACACCCTGCAGGACCCCGAGCACCATACACTGCTGTTATCGCCAGCCGAGACACTGAATTTCGACGCCCAGTTTTGTACAGCATAAACCCGAAAACATGATGTCCCAGGAACTGAGAAATCATAGCCTGTACACCACAGTTGTCATCACTATCATCACCAACCAAGACACTAAATCCTGGCATGCAGCTTTGCACAGCCTAGATCCAGTAGCTCCTGGGCCCTTTGAAGGAACCAAGACACCAAGACACTGCCGTCATCATCATCATCAACAACAAACATGGGGGCATTACAAGCCAAACCAACGAAGTGCATTCGGCATGCTCCGGAAGAGGACTGAAAATTGATTTTGATTAATTTCGACCACCCGGGGATTATTTGGCATGCAACCGAAATCTGTGACTTGGGATCTTTAGGCTGGCGTTTTGCATCGGAGCCACTGAGGCAACTTCACCGTCATTGTTAATTATGATATTAAATTTCGGAATCCAGTTTTGTACAGCATGGATCCGGTGCAACGTCAACCCTTCAAAGAAACCGCATAAATCGGTTTCTTAAGAGATGGGGGTACAATTTAGCAAAGGTGTAATTAGGTGGCACCTTTTTATGAAAATATGGAAGGACAAATTAAAAAAAAAAAAGCTAAAAAAAAAAAACTATTTTTAATGGGTTAAGCCTGACTTGTACGAAACTATAGAATGTTGTGATGGTCCACTGTGGCATTTATTTTGGCCAAACAAAGGTGAGGGGATAAAATGCAGCCACCAAACTACTCAAAGATTTCGAGAAAAAAAAAAAAAAAGAAGGCTTAGTTAAATTTTTTTTTAAAAAGAAAATAAAAGTTTTCTTACCTTTTTGGCTGGACTCAGGCAAGCTCATGATTTCCTACTTTCAAACAAGTGCACCATCCACGGGCACTTTCGCAATAATTTGTGGTGCAATATGTTAAGACAGTGATTTATGCGGCCCTTTAAAGGGGCCCTGCAACAACTTTTTGACTGTTTTTTTAATTCGCACCGAACGTGAGCGCACTGAACGTAGTAACTTAATGAAACTTCTCTTTTCTCGAATTTTTCTTTGTTATAAGTTACAGGCAAATTAAAATTACAAAAACAAGCAAAAAATAACCCCCTTCATGATGCCGTTGGTCTTGGCTTGAGTGGCGGTGAACTAGAGGAGGGGTAGTAAACTCAGCGAGCGCTCATGGCTGCCGCACTCCGTGTCGACGGCTCGAGAGGTTGCCACTAAAGCATGTGTTGAATAGGCTGCATGAAGCGGGCGGCCAGGCGGCTCACATCGCATTTGCTACGCGATTAAAGACTAATTCGGCATGACACTTCACTGGCCACAAACGACAGCAAACACGGGTAAAGATCAGTTCAGAACAAGAGCCACCACGAGCTGCCATTCCGCCAAAAGGCCAAATCGCAGCCAGACCTGTGCCGAAGGCCTTCGGAACGCTTGGAATCGGTCGGATCCTCGAGCCGGTATACGACCGCAGCGCCGCCGTGTACATCCGGGACCTTCCTACACTCATCGCTCGTCGGTCGCTCATCCCACTACCCCTTTCTAGTATGCACCATTTTTTCCGCTGCTTGGTGGCGGGTATGACGACGGGTCATTTCTTGTTTCCGTACATTATAAACTGCATTTGTTTCTTTTCTGATCTAGAATACTGAACAAAAACTACTTTCATAAATAATTGAAATGGTTTGCGACACTTATATTTTGTATTTTGTCTAAAAGAAAAAGTTTTTAGCGGCTCTGATCAGTAGTAAGGCCAGGACCAAAGACCTCATATTTCGCGCGCTTTCGGCACTGCGGGTCGTTCCCGTAGGTGGAGCAGGTTTCCCCGTCGTCCGGTTAAAATACAATGCACCGATATTTAGTTACTCTCTCCGTGCTCGCTGGCTTGCCCGAACCCCAAGAGACATGGAAACCGCAAAAAAGTTAGACGCTTAAATATGATTGCAGGGCCCCTTTAAAGGAACACTGACAGGTTATTTATGCTCGCCGAGACTTTTACTTGAACCTGACCTATAAGAGCCCAACTAACTGGAATACAATTTGTGGCTCGAAATTCAATTTTTCTTTCTGTCCAAAAACAGCCAGCTTGGAATTAGCTGGTTTCAGTTGCGCTCACTCTGTTTTCCATGGTCACATAAAGTTCAAACTATGTGTACAAAATATATTCAAAGTCTCGAGCATCAAAACACACAATCAATAAAAAAAAAAAAAAAATGGAGGCCACAAATATGCAAGCTCCATATTTGTGGCCTCCAAGAAGCTGCAAATACATTGATTGAAAAAGAAATGTTGCACAGATCACAAAAAGTACATGTACATATCATTCTCAATATGGCAATGTACTGCAGGCATACCGCGAGCTGAATGTAATGGCGGTGCACAACGGACCAACGTTTTGACGAACGTGAGGTCGCTACTCTGGAATTGTCGTTCGTGGTACCCCGGAGGAGCTGAATAGGCACGGGAGAGAAGGAAAATCTGGTTCGACCAAGTTCGACTGGGCTTGATTGCGTGCAGCATGCCGCCGTACTTTTGCAGAGCAAAGCTGTGCAGAAGGGTATGTACGGGGTGTTTGACTTATCGACACTTGGGTTATTCGTTTTAAAAACCGTTTCGGTGTCACTTTGAGCGAAAAATTGGTGTCTCTGTGGTGTGGCCAGAACATGGTTGACATTCACATAATAAAATAGGCTCTAAAAATTTTTTTTGCAGTACACCTTTAAGAAGTGCCAAGACGCCATCGGGTCCACAATGTATTTCATCCATCCTTTCCACTTGTTCCTGATTCAATTTCCGACAATCAACTTCTGTGACGGACATTCAGTCACTTATGTTCCGAGACAGAGAAGTCATCTGACCAGTCATGTGACTAAAGATGTCACACGTCTATACTCCATTTCACGATAACTTGGCGAACAGTGGAACTACGGCCACTGCGACCCAATAAGTGCGTCGGAGCGAGGCACGTGACACTAGGTCATGGGGCTTGTGCGTCACTACGCCAAATGCGAGGCCCGGAGAAACCGACTGTCGTCTGCTAGCCAAGAGACGTCTGCTGCGCAACCAACCAACTTCGGATGAACGTCCACCTCCGCAACATTTGAGTCCACTAAAATAGCGAGCTCTTTGGGAACAGTTCACGAGACAACCATATGCTCAATTTACCCATGACTCTGTGAAGGGGGCTAATGTCCAGGCCCAGTGCGATGTTATCAGGGGAAACGGTCAATTACACGGCTGTGTCGCCAACAGCCACGGCGCCACAAGGAGAAAAAAACTGGGAACGAATACGAATGTGGCGTCACTTTTTTTGCTTTAAATATAATCGAAACTCGTAAATTTGAGAATGCTTATTTCTTTATTTTGCATATCTTCTTGATAGAGATGGAATCATGCGAGTTCAATTGCCTTCAAAAGAGAAAGAAGCCTAGAACTACTTTTTTGTCGCAGGCGGCGCTGTTGTTTTGGCAGTAACGAGGCCCCTGTGCTTTTATAGGGTAGAGGGGGTCGCAGCCTCCACAGTTTGCCAAGTTATCGTGAAACGGAGTACATGGTAGCAGACGAAATCAAATATTTTACGCCTCCCTCCTCCTTCTTTTCCTCTGTATAGAATGCCCGCCACACATACGCTCCACAACCACCTCGCCTGCCGTCAATTTACAGCACCTGCATTAATGGACCGATCCAATAAAAGCACGTTCGGGAACTGAACGAAACGGAAAAACATCCACTAACAAAGTTAAAAAAATTTGAGACAAAAGAGGTGCAATAATGATGGCTAAAATTAGTGCCGCAGCATTCTTTGTCCTCGTGGAGAAGATTTAACAGTTGCTTTTTGCAGGCAATGCCTTTACGGAGAGTTCGGTCGGGCTAAAGTAAAGAGAGCATTTGCTTAGTGACCTGGTGCATCACTTAAAACAGGAAAAAAGGAATGTTTGCCTACGACAATTAAGTATTTGTTCAGGAACGAAACCCGGGGCAACGGAAAGGAAGACCCGAGCATGTGCGCAAATTTTTAGAAGTTTGCTTCAGGTGGAACAAGGTCACCATAAAACTCCGCATTACATGAACGTGTTTCAAGATTATGTACACAGCCATCACGACCAGGTGCCGAATGATAAGGAAAGGTTTTCATAAGTTGAGGCCCCGTTTCGTGCACGTGCGACAGCGTGTAAAGGAAGCTTGACGACGTAACGCTGAACCAGGTAACGTGTTAACATGTGGCCGACAGCCGACGCAGGACAATGCCTACATCGTTGCAGACTCCCGCAATACGGGAAAACACAAATGCAGCCAACGTGAGCTTACACGTTCGGAACAACAGAGGTGTTTCGGAAGTGCGGCGACACGGCTTGTCGGGATGACGAAAACGAAGCGCCGAACACATGGCAATAGGAGACTTCAACTTCGAGAAATGCCCATGGGAAACGCGCTTCGGTAGTCCTTTTAGTAGCTGTGCGAAAATTCTACTAATAATAGCACGCATTAGGACACCAGGGGGCAATGGAACTGTGGGACGCATAAGCAGATATGTGCTTAAATGAGACGGTTTTGGAAAGTGTATTTTGGAAGAAAACCTGAAATAAACTATTCTATTCTTTTACTATTTTCCAAATGCCTGGTATATTTTGTGTATTCATAATTTCAGCACCAGTCGTTAATTCCTAGTGCATTGTGCGCTCTCAATAAAATTTACCTTTACGTCGACACTTACTTGTTCATTGCTTGTGTGCCACAGAAAACTAACAATTTAAAGTTAAAAAAAAAAAAAAAGAAGTTACAGGTTTCTAAAGATTATTTTGCAGAAACAGTGCCCTGGAGTGGTGCAGTACATTGTTTTCTTTAATTAATATTATGAAAACTTTGTCACCCGCATTATAAAATTTTAAAAATGTAGTTTTGTTGGCAGGAAAACCACTGTTCCCTAGGTCGCACAAAAAATGATCCCCGAATACATCTTTTTGATTGCGTATTGATTGA